AAATGGAACAAAATTCACTGAACAAATGTTTTGCTTAGCAACAGAAATTTGGGGGCCAAGTGAGGTCATAAATTGAAGACTATGTGTAAAAAGAAATGAAGCTGCTTTAAGTGTTTGATTTGATATCCTTATGATAAAAATAGAATTAAACTATAGTGACAGCCAATGCACCAAACTGTAATAGACCATGTTTCTATAACCATAGGAATCTGAATGTTTGCTAAGATTCCTTAAAAACAGCTAGTCTATAGTTGTATATTAATTCATTCACATTTTCATCATCAGATTCATCTGATTTGCAGTTGGAGAGGGAAGTGCATATATTTCAATACTCTTCAAAAGAATAAGGGTAATTTAAATATCAATGGATTATACCAAATGTTCATGTATACTTATCTCAATTTACTAGGAATTCAGTAAGTAAAATAAATGAACTTGAACCCATATGCTACTAAACTTTCCTTTGTGTTTGTAATGGGACATCATAGAGCAATAATTTTGAACCAAGGACTCATTACTCCAGTGTAACTGAAATTGCAAGGATCTTCACACCAATTACCGTATTTTTCTGAGTATAAGATGCACCTTTCCCCCCTCCTAAAAGGAGATGAAAATTTAGGTGCGTCTTATACACCAAATGTAGCCCTGCCCACCCACTGACCCCCACCCTTTGGCCTCTGCCTTGCAGCAGTTGCCTCCTTGCAAGCAAACAGCAAGAAAAAACAGCTCCTTTCAACTTCAGCACAGGCTAATTAGCACAAGTTGATTGGATCGGCCTCCTGACTCTAAGCTGCTTTGCTCTCATCTGTTTTCCTCACCAAAAAAGGTAGGTGCGTCTTATACTCCGAAAAATACAGTATATTGCAAAGTTGTGCTCACTGCAGTGTCACCACAATTAGCTCAGGTCACTAGATTGTGATTTCCAATCCCACTCCCCAGAAACCCATAGATTGCATGATACAAGGGAAGATGGAAAGGCTATACCTCACCTTCTTTCTGCCTCCTTCTGGAGGGGAAACAGCACCAACTTATATTATTTGTAGAAGGAAGGATGGGTCAATAAGTCATGAGTTATCTAGTGAATAATTAGAATTGCTCTGAACCAGAATTTTAGAAGAGCAACTTACCGTACTTACTTTTGTTTCGAACTTGGAACAAAACAGCCTCCACATCTGTCAAAATACAGTATTTCAAATTGGCTCTTCTGATGGAAGAAATTCAGAATGTCTTCAATAGTCTGGAACATTGAGAAAATTCTGGCCAACAGTAGGAACTTAGAATTCATTTCTGTTTCCCTTTCTTCACTTCTAAACCACAAGAGTGGGTGGAATAGTAATCCATGTTGAGTGTTATCTACCACTGAAACTATTAAAAATTGGCCAAATGAATGATTTCTAAAACATTTTTGAAAAATAAATTTAATGAATTCCTACAGGAAACAATAGGAATGTAACACTATTTTCACACTGCAGGGAAAAAGGAATTACAATCTATTGCTGAAAAATATCTCACATACACATGCACCTCTTTTTAAACAGAGAAAACAGACAAAGGCATTTTCAATTTCTTTACATGAACTCTGAATAGCTCAATCCATAGATTACAAGAAAAAATAGCTGTTTTTTTTATTAATACATTGAATTTATATACCACGTTTATTTTGTGCAATTTAAGGTAACAGCTTTTATTTTCTTCACAAAACAACTCTGTCAGGTATGTTAAAATCAGAGAATGTGCGGCCCAAAGTCACACAGTCAGCTTCTTAAGGGAGGACTAGAATTCATGGTCTCCCAAATTCGACCTGAGCAGTTAACCACTACACCAAACAGGCTCTGTAATTTCTCATTATTTTGTAAGAAGACCATGAGGAGAGCACACATAAGTTAAACCTCAATAATTCCAGTGAAATCACAAAGGAAGCCTAAAGCTCAACATCCACAGATCACTAGAACATACACAGAATTCACACACACAAAAGTTTAACAGACACTATTTGCAGAATTTCAGCAACCCTAATACTCTGTGTATATGAAGCACCATAATGCTATTATGGATACACAATACACAATGTCTTATCTATCTATAAAATAATTCAGCAATCTTGCATTTCCACATAGCAATTTTTTAAAAAAGTAGGAGGAGAGTTCCAAGCCATCTTCTTTTCTCTGGTCATATGCTTCATTTCTTTTTTGTCCTCAGCACTGTACTTATACATCACCCAAACCATCTACAACAGCATGACCCAAACCCAAACCATCTACAATAGCATGACTAATTTCCTCTGCTGTTTTGGGGTGACTAGAAAAAATGCCAATTTCGTAAGTCACAAAATAAGAGCCCTATCTCAGTGTACTTGGAATACTTGAAGCAACCCAGCCAGAAACCACCCAGTTTGTGTTGCAGGTGCAGAGCTCTCAAAATCAGCTGTTTGAAGTGTGTGTTTTTGCACTTTCTTCGCTAGCTTTGCTTGAAAATATCTTTGTCTGATTCATCATTTCAACAAAATCTTACCTCTAAAGGGTCGCCATTTCTCTACAAAACAAAAAGCCACACTTCCAACCATCTGTTACAAGTTTTCTAAACTATCTTGGTAATGCTAATGATTTTGTAACAGCTCTTTCATGTTGGTCTATTGACTGGCTGAGCTCAATCTGCAGCACTATCTCCCTTGGTACAAAGACAGAGGCCTCTGAAGTCTGTAAAGAAATTTTGCTAGAAAGACAGCAGACCCTCCTAGAGTAACTGAACTTCCCCAACTTTTGTACTTCCAAAGGTCCAACATCACAAGGGAGATAAATCATTTACAAGTGCACATTTTAATTTTCATTGGTACATTCCTGATGGAGGGAATGACTTTGGTTCATGAAAAAAGCAGTGAAGGGAAGGGTTTTTTTCCCTTCTTCCAAACATGTGTAGTCATGCATGAATGAATATATTCTTTTTAGCCAAAAGCACTTAACTGAATAATAAGAGCAGTGACTTCATGGGAAAATTACAGGAGTGCACTAAACTCCTAGGTGGTTGAACAATGTGGATTTATGGCTCTGAATAAAAGCATTGTTAATGGCATCTCCAGATGTTTCAGTGGAACAACAATAACAATGATTAAACTTAAATGGGGGGGGTTCTCTTTTTTATTTGAGTGTAGGAGATGATCTGATGTGAGATCACAAACACAAAATCCTTATTTTAGGGGGGGGGGGTTTCTTGGTTTTTTTTTTTTTTTGATGTTTTTGATTTTTTGATACACCATACATGCAATGAATATGGCATTGAATACATGTGAACAGTCCAGTCACAAACTAAATATCAGAAATAAATGTCCACAGCATTTATTTTCACCACAAACATAAGGTAATAATTTATTTGTTTGTTATAATAATTTATATTCTATCTTTAAAAGTAGATGTCCCAATTTGGTTTATAAGCGAATCCCAGAAAAAGAATAAATTTGCAATAATTATACATTCATCTGTGAATTAGTCAATAACAACATACAATATAACAGAATCTTAACATAAGGGTTATAAAAGATTTACATTAATTAGAAACTATATTCCATAACTTTCAGTGAAATTTATAGTCCAATCTTATGCATATCCAGAATATGTTCCATTGCATTACATAATCCTCTCTATTAAATAAGTGTGGAAAGATTTTTTTTGGAAAACATTTCTAACAGAAAATTGTTCATGCAACAGATTGAAGTAATTCAGACAGAATTGCAAAAGAATCTTTTGGGTTTTTTTCCCCCTGAATTAAAAAACCATGAAGAAATGAATTGAAAAATATCTGCTGGGGTCATTTTCTGTTTGCTTGGAACTAACATCTTTGCTTTCATTGAACAAATCACAATATTGGCAACATTGATAAATAATAGATTTTCTTTAAAAAGAATGATGAATGGATGCATCTCAGAACTTTTTTGGAAGTGCCAAGAACAATTAAAGTTAGCCTGAAGTGGTGGGGAACACCTAGGAATTTACTGTGTTTGGCCAATGACTTTCCCAAATACTGGATTTTAAAGGTTATTGAAATCATATTGGCCATTCATGGCATTCCACTTAAAAATCTGTGTTTTTTCAATTGCATTCGTATCAAAGAAAAATACTCTTACCAAGCAGATGTCCTATTTGAGTACCTTATTTTTCGGAGTATAAGACGCACCTTTCCCCCCCAAAAAGTGGGTGGAAATGTTGGTGCCTCTTATACACCAAATACAACCGTTTTTGGCCTCCCAAGGCCCCGCCCTGCTCGTTCCATTTTTGCAAAAAACAGGCCCATTTTTTGCTCAATTTTTGCAAAAACAGGGGCGTTTTTGCCCTTCCCCAGCCCCCAGGAGCACTTTGCAAGCCTCCCAAACCCTCTGAGCACCCCATTTTTCACAAAAATGGGCCCGGTTTTTGCCTGTTTTTCTGAAAAATGGGTCACACAGAGGGTTTGGGAGGCCTGCAGAATGCTCCTGGGGGCTAGGGAGGGCAAAAACTTTTTTTTCTTTTTTACCTCTTCGAAATCTTGGTGCGTCTTATACACCGGTGTGTCTTATAGTCCGAAAAATATGGTAATTCAAATGCAGTGAAACATTTTTATTATTTTTTTGTCGATCATAGTTCTCATTTCCCAATAGAGGTAGTCGTTGACTTACAATAGTTCATTTAGTGACTGTTCAAAGTTACATCATCACTGAAAAAAAGTGATTTATCACCATTTTTCACACTTATGACCCTATGGTCAGCATTCCTATGGTCATGGGATCAAAATTCAGATACTTGGCAACTGGTTCATATTTATGACGGTTGCAGTGACCTGGGGTCATGTGATCACTTTTTGATAAGCAGAGTCAATGGAGAAACTGAAAAAATTGTGATTATATGAGGTTCATGCTTAATGACAGTGTACTTTTCCCTTAACCATGGCAACCAGATTCTGGAATTGTTGTCGCTAAGCAGTACAGTCAAGTGATTTCATGTTTTATGACATTGCTTAGCAGTGAAAATTCTGATCCCAATTACAATTGTTAACCAAGAAATTCTGATCCCAATTACCATTGTTAACTATGTGGCAACCAAAAATATGTTTGGTCAGGAAAATATCACTACTGTATTATTGTCCTTAATGAAATTATTTTGGAAATCTGAGCACAAAAGTCTAAGCTTAGAAGTTAAACCTTCACTTTCATCATCAGTGGATGGCATAGAAAATTTCATAAAATTTCATATGTGGAAATGCTCTATCTTTGTAAAAATGGCAATTTTGAAACACAAACTTACATTCTACATATTTCAAGTTCTGTTAAGACATATAAAGATCTATCTCTTAACTTCATTCCCATGACAAACTGGAGAAAGGTATGTACAATTTTTACTAGTAGATAAGTAATAAAAACTGTTTTTGCAGGTGGTAAAACTCTCATATTGCAGATGGCCAAATAGTGCAAGCATGATTGTAAATTTTTAGATCTTGTATGTCTTATTTTATTTTGTACATTCTGTTTCGTAATTCTACTCTGTAGGTTTTATTCAGTTTTAATTAAACTGGATTGCTGACCTGTAAATAAGTATTTGAAACATTGACTTTCAGAAACAGAAATGTAGCAACAAACATCAAAAACTTACACAGCTAATAAGCAATGTTTCAGTTCATGAAATTTGAGGATGGGGAAGAAGGAAATAAAATGGAGAAGATATTAAAAAAGTGGAGAAGATTAAAAATGATGTGAAAAGAGAAAAAAAGCAGAGGAAAATGAATGAAAACATTAAATTTTAGAATTTTGGTTCTCTGACTAATTCAGAGATAATATAATTATGCTACAATGGGCAGGTGAGTCTCTGAGGCAACCTCATGAAACAATTTTATATTTGAGATATAATCTACAATGTTCTATTTGTAATATTGAACTCAGTACATGTGTATATATTTTTAAAAGACACTTTGAGTGGTCAATGGTCAAATTGTGTGACTGCCTTTGGATAAATCATCTTTCATATAGGTTGTCTGTAGTGGCTTCTGTAAGAAATTGTGCCAATGACAAAATGACAATACATGTATCGTAATTGTGCAAAGATACAAAACCTTCATCAGACATCAAACAAAAGTATGTTAGTTGTGTGAATATGCACATCTTATTACTTGTTCCCCTGTGGAAGCCTATAGTTGCTTGCTATCTAGTCAGCAGTTATGTGCTGTTTATAAATATTTTCACTGATTATTTTTCAGATCTACTCACAACACATGCTGAATTCCTATGGAAAATTACAAAAATTAGTGTCTTTGTTCAAAAGAAGGTACACTATCTTGAAAAAAGCCTCTGTTTAATGTAAAGGCCATGTATGCTATAGTGAAATAAACTGGATTTGTTTCCTATATGTACAGTATTTGATTACATCTCTCATAAACAATATACTAGGACAACTGTAAACCAACATATTGGTGAATATCAAATAGAAAGGTTAATTTAGGAATAATAATAATAACAACAAAGTCAGAATTGAGAAAACAGCAAGAGACAGTAAGTGTCTGCCTTTGCATAGGCAAAGAAGCTGAGGAAACAGTGGACCACCTAGTAAGCTGCTGCAAGAAGATCGCACAAACTGACTACAAGCAGTGGCATGACAAAGTAGTAACAATGGTGCATTGGAAAATCTACAAGAAATATCATTTGCTAGCAAGCAAGAAGTGGTGGGACTATAAAATAGAGAAAGTCATAGAAAATGAAGAAGTTAAATTGCTCTGGGACTTTAGAATTCAGTCAGACAGGCACCTGCCACATAACACCCCAGACGTTGCTAAGGGATAACACCCGTTGTCGATAAGAAAGACAAAAAGACAAAAATGTCTGGATAGTGGATGTGGCAGTGCCTGGAGACAGCAGACAGTGCCTGGAGACAGCAGAATAGAAGAGAAACAACTGAAGAAGATAACAAAATACAAAGATCTACAAATAGAAATAGAATGACTGTGGCAAAGGCAAGCAAAGATAGTACCAATAGTAATAGACACCTTGGGTACAATCCAATTGGAGCACCACTTAAACACCATAGAAATTGACAAATTCACCATCAATCAATTGCAGAAGGCAGCTTTACTTGGAATAGCTTCCATCCTGCAATGATATCTGTAATACCATCAAACTTCCAGATTTGCTTATCCCATGTCCTTGGTAAGGACTCAATAGGTAGACAAAAATCCCAAACCCAATCTGAACATCTGGTTGACTATGCAATGATCAATAATATCTTTGTGGCCATAGAAAGGAAGTGACATCACTGAAATAAAATGCTTTCCCACTTCTTTTTGTGAGGTATATCCACCTAAGGATTGTGCCCAGATCTGGACCTCTGGGACCTCATTGTGTGGGCTGTTTCAAACTGAAGTTAAGGATACTCTTTGGAACTTATGCAAAGTGCATTTCATCATGAAAATAAAAAGAGTTGGCGACCACAGGCAAAATAGCAAATAAAAGGAAAGATGCTAGACAAAAAGGATTTGGATGTAAAAACAATTTTGCACACAGTTCTGTGGATGTTTATTCTGAAATAAGGCTTAAATAACAGAATAATGTGTCAAGTGAGATTTATTTTCCAGAAAATCTGCACAAGACTGAAGACTTCCACTTTAATTTTAAAGGCATGTACTTGAATACAACGAATACTAGAACTCAGTCTGAAAGTTATTCCAGGTTTCCATATATAATAATAAAACTGGATGAGTAGAATTTCTTCTTTTGAAACTCTGCTATTCAGCATAACATACATTTGGGGCCTATAATAAATGTTTCTGTACATCAGCTTTTAAGAAGTCTTGTCCAGAGTTCTCAGAAGCACAGCAACCAGGCTTTTCTATAGAATATTGTATATTTTTAAAAGTTTTAAGCAAATCAGTTCTCACAGGGTTTTTTTTCCTTATCTTTTTTGTAAGCTACCACTGAATATTCTGGACTTTTGGGAAATCATCAAACATCCCCAATGAGTTGATTTTATGCAATCAACTCTTTTTAGTGAAACATAATGTTCCATAAGGTTTACGTGAGCCTAGGGTAGAGTGAGCCTGCTTCCATTCCATTTGAACTTCCCAGAGGCTGCTGGAAGGAGCTGCTGGCTGTAAATGGGGGAGACTGAGGGGGAGGACAGAGGACAAAGGTATATGGCATGCAAATCATATAACTATAAAACAAAAATAGCAATAATACATTCAGGGTAAATCCACCTGAGATTCCGATTTTATTTTATTTCAGAATGACTGGCTTAGTTCAGTGCAATACTTGTTTTGCAGCTGTCTTTCGCAGTACTCTTTTCCAATTTGGACACTGTCCTCTTTGTAAATAAATTACTAGTCTACATGGACAGATTACCTATCTAGAGTATCTAATCTGTGCTCTTCAAGCAGAAATTAGGTATCTAATTCAGCCACTCCACTCTATTGAGCTGCCACGCTATCAGCCCCCTCCACCATAAAGATCCAGCTATACACAGCGGTCTGTTCTTTCTATAGATCAATATTTACAGATATTTAAATATAAATTTATTTGACGTTCATTTTCTACTTTATATCATTTCTTCTTTACTAACAAAAGATCATACATATTTCCCCCTTCCTTTCTTCATTCATTTAACTTATTTCCTTATGTTTCAACCATTCATACCATCTACTCCAAACCTTATAATACTTTGATTCTTCTTTCCCCTTAATTTCTTTAGTTAATTTATCTAATTCTGCATATTCTAGATTTTTTTTAATTAAATCCTCTTCCGTTGGTAGTGCTTCCTTCTTCCAATATTGTGCATATAGAATATGTGCTGCAGTCAATATATGCAATATAAGGTACTGTATTTCTTTAGTATAATTATCTATTGAGATTCCTAACAGGAATTGTTCCAGTTTTCCCTCTATTGGATTCTGAATTATTTCTACTATCCAACTTTTGATTTTCTTCCAGAATTTTTGTGCCATCGTGCAGGTCCACCATTGATGATAGTATGTTCCGTAGCCAGTCTTGCACTTCCAACATTTCGGGGAGTTGGTAGGGAACATTTTCGCAATTCTGGCCAGTGGGAGGTGGCATCTATAAAACATTTTCATCTGGTTTTCCTTGTATGCTATCACAATTGTTAGCTTCATATTCGTTTTCCACATCCTCTCCCACTTCTCTAGTTCTGTGTATAGCTGAAAATAAAAGTGATCTTTTTCTTTTTTGTGTTATTTTTTGTTGTATATACATGTTTGATTTTTAATGTGTTTTTTTTATTGAAAAAGTTTTACAAATACATTTTCTCCCCAATTTCACCCCCCTAACCCTCCCTAACCCCCCCGACCCTCCCTGACCCCCCCCAACCCTCCCCTCCCCCCCGGACTTCCACAGAGTATAATCCAAATCAAAAACATATTTTATAAAACTTGAATCCCTCCACCCCCTATATATTCTTCCCATTTTCACAATCCAATTATTCTATCACTATATAATACATTCAATTAAAAGCTATCTGATATTTCCTAGTTTGATATTTATTCTGCACATAATCTATCCACTTTTTCCACTCCCATACATAAGTCTCTTGTGTCCGATCTTTTAAATATGCTGAAATCTTCGCCATCTCTGCAAAACCAGCCATCTTCAAAGTCCATTCTTCAATAGTGGGCATAGCATCATTTTTCCAATATTGACCTATCAGTAATCTCGCTGCTGTTATGATTTTTAATGTGTTTTTAATGTGTTTAAAATAAAATAAAAACTTTTTTTTTTAAAAAAAGACAAAAGGACAAGTATAAAAAGTGGAAAGGGGCACATAACCAAGGCAGAATATCAGCAAATAGCCCAACCTTGCAAAGATGAAGTGAGGAAAGCTAAGGCTCACAATGAACAAAGGCTTGCAACAAAAGTAAAAAATAACACACAAAAAAAGCTTCTTTCAACATGTTAAAAACGAGAAAAAAGTCAAGGAACCAATTGGTCCATTGCAGGGAGAAAGTGGCAAGAAGGTGACAAGCAACAGGGAGAAAGCAGAACTACTTAACTCATTTTTTGCAACTATCTTTACACAAAGGGGGAAAAAAGTCCAACCTATCAAAAACAGCACCACAAAAAACAGATTAAGGACACAGGTTAAAATAGGGAAGAAAATGGTAAGTGAGCACCTGTCTACCCTAGACGAGTTAAAATCACCAGGACCAGGTAGATTACACCCCAAGGTTCTGAAGGAACTGGCAGATGAGATCTCAGAACCACTGAACTATATCTTTCAAAGATCCTGGAGCACCGGGGAACTGCGGGAGGACTGGAAAAGAGCTGGTGAAGTTCCCATCTTCAAAAAAGGAAAAAAAATAGATCCAGGAAACTACAGACCTATCAGCCTGACCTCAATACCAGGGAAGAGTCTAGAAAAGATAATCAAGCAATGAATCAGTGAACACCTAGAAGCAAACAAAGTAATAGCCAAAAGCCAACATGGGTTTATCAAAAACAGATCATGCCAGACTAACCTTATTGCATTCTTTGACAAAGTGACAAAATTCCAAGAAGCATCGTAGATCCTGACGGTCGACGGACGTCTAGCTGCCTGTATGATATGGATAGCGTCCCTCTAAATGTTATTTTTCCTCAGGCAGATCCGCTCAAGCGCCATACGGCTAATTGAAGCCACTGGGGGTTTGGATGGAGTACAGCCCCCTGGCTGAGCAATATCCAGTCCTGAGGAATGCGCCACGGCCGATCCACGGAGAGATTCACCAGGTCGGCAAACCAGGGGTGCCGAGGCCAGTGAGGTGCGACCAGAAGTAGATCTGCCTTTTCCAGCAACAGTTTGCGGATCACTCCCGGAATGAGTGGGATGGGAGGAAAAGCATAAAGCAGACCTGGTGGCCACTGACACTGTAGGGCATTGCAGGCCTCGGCTCCCCGGCAAGGGAACCGTGTGACAAACCTGGGCAGCTGCACGTTGTCCTGATGGGCGAAGAGGTCCACCAGCGATTGACTGAATCGATGTATCAGTTCCCGAAACAGCTCTGGATGCAACTTCCACTCCAACAGATCCAGGCATTTTCTGCTGAGCCAGTCTGCCCTGACATTTGCAGTCCCCGAAATATGTTCCGCCCTCAAAGACAACAGGTGAAGCTCCACCCAGTCCAATAATGCCTCTGCCTCCCGCATGAAAGGGAGGGATTGGGTGCCCCCCTCCCGATTTATGTGGGTCTTTGCTAACATGTTGTCCGTGAGGACAAGGACATGACGGTGAAACAGGGTCTGCTGAAAATGGATCAGCGCCAAGCGCACAGCTCTCAGCTCCAGTACATTGATATTGTCCCGAGAGTCTGTCCGGGTCCAGAGCCCTTGGACCATCTGAGTCTCCAGGGACCCCCCCAGCCGGAGAGG